TTGCGGTGCCTCTGCGGTCCGTGGCTTGAGGTCCACGAGCGGGCGGGAGACTGGGCTCGGAGCGCACCGTGCGCCTGCTACTTTCCAGTCCCTGGAGAGGCGATCGTGGATGTCCCTCCCTGCCACGGTGACGCGGGGCTCCTGACCCTCTCCCACGCCTCCCCGAGGGGATATGCGGAAGGTGTCACCGCCTCTCTCGCGAAGAAACCAAAGTGCAAGCCGATGAACTTGGGTGTACAGCACAGCAAAAGTGCAGTCCTGTCGGCGAGTTTCCGTTGCCCTGTCTTTTTGGAAGAGGAGTGGAGGGCTTATTTTAATAATACGAATTGGGTGTTACCCCCTCCGCCCCAATTCATACGGTACAGAAATTCATGAAGTGAAAATTCTTTACCTTCCCTCTAGCCTAAAGGCTAGGACTGAGTAGGGTGCAGTGGTACTTGGCAGTTGTGTCCTTCCTGGCCTGTCCCAAGTTCTGAGGTAGTGTTACAGATACATGAACTACATATAGCCCGGCAATTTCGTTCAAACTGGTATTTATTACCTTCATTTTTAACGAGATTCAGTTTTTCTAATTAGTATTATTCTGAGATTTAGTGATTGTTTTAATCAATGTTCTTAGAACATAGTCAGAGCGTTACCACCTAACTTTTGTTTGTGAAAACAACACATATGCTGAATAGAATTTAAACCAACTGCGCGGTTTGTAGCATACATTTGACTTTCTATCTATTTTGAGCAATTCATTTATAGCATGTCACGTGTTAATCAGTGACCCATAAGAGCTAAATACAGACAAGGCTACTGGTATGGATTGGTGATAGAGAGGGAAATACCAGAAGGGACAAGACTAGGTCAATTCACAAAATCGAACTGTAGAGACAGACTAAAGTATCAGATCATTGTTAAATTTCCTGTTGATAACTGCTGGTTTCATAGCAGAGTTGCCATATACTTATGAAGTACAGATGTTTAAGGGTAAAGTGTGATGTACTTCATTTACTCTCAAATAGTCCAAGGGGTGGGTGGGTGCGTATGTACGTACGTGTATATGCGTGTGTGATTGACAGAGTATGAGTAAGTTTAAAAGCGGTTTTGCCTATGAGCCTACTGTCTTAGACAAATACGGTAAGTGTCCTTTGCCCAGCTACCTGTAGTATTATTTGCTTGGCAAACTTGCACTTCTTTTGTAGTCTATTGCAGAATCTAAATTTTGACTCTGGACTGGCTGAATTTTCGGGTTGTCAGAGTTTTCTGTGTGTTCAAGTACTGGTTATTAACTGCAACACAAATTGTCAGATCCTTTCATTGTGGCTATTTTTATGCCTGGGTTCACAAATGTTTTAAATAAAGGTTTCTGTTTTAACTTCATTACATCTTTGGTGGTCAGGACAGCTGGGGTTCATTGAGCACCTCCTACGTCCCTTTAATCTTTACAACAGCCCTACAGACTAAGTAGTGGTGTCCTTGTTTGGTAGGTAGGAAATTGAGGTGCCTGAGGTCACACAACTAAATGACCTGGGAGCTTGAATTGTTTGAGAACTCATTGCTTGCCTTCTGGTTCACCTATAGATACTTGACTATGTGTTCAGTGAAATATTATCATGTTGTTATTAATCATATTTCTTTTTGAGATGAGAGATCATGAAATGCCAGGGATTCAAATTCAGGCCCTCATGTTTTCACAGCAAGTGCTCTTACCCAATTACCCTTCTTCCCAGCTCTCTTATTTTTATTTTTTTGTTTGTTAGTTTGTTGAATTTTTTGAGACAGAATTTCACTGTATATCCTTGGCTGTCCTGGAGCTAGCTCTGTAGACCAGGCTGGCCTCAAACTTAACAGAGATCCTTCTGCCTCTGCCTCCAAAGTGCTAGGATTAAAGACATGCACCACCACTGCTAGCTTATTTTAATTTTTAGTTTTTATATATACAAATGTTTGCTAGATATATCTCCATAGCCCTTTATGCCCTCCTCTTTTTTATATCCAGAGAACTGAGAGGCATCCATGAACAAAGTTCAAGAAGTAGCTATAAACCCATATCCAAATTTTAATAATTGCAAGTTTATAGAGGACTGAAGAAACCACATAGAAGTGGTTATGTCTAACCACATAGAAGACCAGTTGGTTTTGTTTGTTTTGTTTTGAGATGACTTAACAACAAATGATGGTTTCTAAGTTGGGAGCTGGACAATGGACTGAATGCCCCTGCATTGCCCTGAGGCTCAGTGGCCTTTACAAGACACTATCCCTTCTCCCATCCCCATCTTCACAGTCTAGTCACTTCCCTCCATAACATGAAGTGCAGTGTTTTGTATGTGGTTACTTAGTCTTAACTGGATTTTCAGAGATGTCTAGCAGGAAGATGTGTTAACTGAAACTTTAAAAGTCAAAGAATGCAGGAACCAGCAGGATAGCTCAGCAGATATAGGACCTTGCTGCCAAGGCTGATGACCTGAGTTTAACTCCCTGGACCCTGTAAGTGGACTTTTCTTTGCTGCCTGCTAACAGGGAAATTCAATAATATGCTTATTATTAGCTAACTCTTACATTTAAATTAAGCCATATTTCTTATCAATGCTTTGCCATGTGGCTTAGAATCTTCTCAATACAGCATGCCCATCTTGCTTCTCTCTGCATCTGCTCCACAGCTCTGCCCTTCTTCCTGCCAGTGTCCTCAGTTTGGCTCTGCAGCCTAACTTTATCCTCTTCAGCTAGTGGCCATTCAGTTTGTTTATTAAACCAATCACAACGACGTATATTCACAGTATAAAGGAATATTCCACACAGAACCAACTCCCACAAATTCTCTGACCTCCATATGATTGTGCATGTGTACATGCACACACATAAATAATAATAGAAAAATAAATATATGTAACATTTTTTAAAGTCAATATGATTAAAATGAGATGATTTTCCTAATTTGATAATTAATGCAGAAATATCTTGAGTATATTATGTGGAAGAGTCCAGTGTCAGAATATGTATGATTGCAAATGTGGATAAAATAATATTTGTTTACACACAAAGAAATAAAAAGAAAAAGGTTTGTAAAGCTTTAAATTGGTTACTGGTGAGGAGAAAGTTAGAAATGATTTATAACCTTTCCAATAATAGCGATTCAGGAATTAACATTGTTACCTCTGGGGTGCTGTGCATATATGTGTATCTGAAAATAAAGTTTATTTAATAATATATTATCAATGAGCATTTCACATGAATTGATCCATATCATTCAAGTACCAATTTTTGAAGTTTTTAGTATTTATACAGAAATCATTTATGAATTTATCTATACTCTTTGTAAAATAAGTGTGTTTAAATATAATTTCCCTTTTCCTTGACTTGAGTCATAAGTAATCTATTGCTAACATAAACTAAACCACCAGATTGAACTAAAACATAATAGGATCTTCAAGACCTCCTTTCCAGTACTCACATTGTATTTTGCACATGCCACTATGTCCCCTGACTTAGCCTTCCCTTCCCCTTCCCTACTTAATTCCTGTATTATCTTCAGCACACATGCATCTCAAACTCTGCAGAGATACCTTTCAGTTCTCTAGAGGTGCTTGCTCCAGCTAACAACCAAGACACTAAACCAGGCTCTAAACCCTGCCCTCAAGGAGCTCCAGGTCTCCAGGAGAGAATAGGGAAACAGGGTTCTAAAAGATGTTGAACCTCCCACAATTAGGTAATCACTCTACCACTGAGCTACATCCCCAGCCTCTTATTTATTTATTTGTTCTTTTTTTTAAAGATCAGGTCTCACTGAGTTGCCCTTGCTGATCTTAAACACACTTTGTTCTCAGGGAGATTTCTGTGAGTTCAAGGGCAACTTGGTCTATAAGTGAGTTCCAGGCTAGCCAGGGCTACGTAGTGAAACCCTGGCAGGGCGGGGAAGATCGTTCCTTCTTCCCAGCTTCCCAAGCCAACTTCGATTACCGGAACGACATTAATACACATTGAAATAAACTAAGAATATATGTACCAGAATGTAAACAGTAGTTGGCCTCTGGATGGTGAGTTGTTTGGGGAAGGTTTTTATTATTGTTTTATGTGTGTTCGTGTGTATTTCCGTTTTTTTTTTTTTTTCAAAAATCTCCTATACTTGTATATTAAGAAAAAAACAAGATTACAGCAATCCTAATCATTTCAATTATATTAAAAATTGTTTCTGTTTTTATTTTTCAGATTAACAAAATACATTGTGTTATTGTGTTTAACCAAATGTTTGAAGGCTGTGGGACTTTTTGAGTCATATGATCTCTTAAAAGCTGTTCACATTGTTCAGTTCATTTTTATATTAAAACTGGGGTAAGTATGGAGAGAGCCTTAATGTTTCTTATGTCTCTGAAGATCCTGTTTTGACTAGCTTTAAGAAATCTTACCTACATGTCCTATGGAGTTTATTCCTTCTGACACTATTTGATAAATTTTTTCTTTTAAGTAGAAGCTTA